GCAGCCCATCCCTGCACACACTGTATCTCCGCCATGTAAGCCGGTATAGCTCCATTAACATAAACGGAACGACACTGTTTACAGTTTTGAGACTGGACCTGCAGAGTGTGATCTGATTGAATGGCAGCTCATAATTCCAAACAGACTATATATTCTTAAAATTATTTGCCGCTCATCTGATGCCTTTGGATGGTTATCCAGTGTATAATTGTGCAACCCCTCCAAAACCCTAAGTAGGATTTTTCATAAATATTCTCTTAATTGATTTCGATAACCTTAAGCCAGGCATGTCCAAAGTCCGGCCCGCGGGCCAATTGCGGCCCGTGTTCCGGTTTAATACGGCCCCACAGGTAATTTGGCAATATCTATCTTTTATGGCCCCCAACGAATCCATATGTATTGAGAAGAATACATTGTAAAATCTCAGTTAATGTCAGTTGGTCTAAATCAGTTATAAATATATTTGGACACAACATGTATACTTGGTGTTATGTTCCTGTTCATATTTTTTGAACTTAAAAGTTGACAGACAACCTTTATTACCAATAATATGTAATGTACTTTACAATGTTCCTGACATATATTTCAGCTTCCTGGATTTTTTTTTTCATCTGGCCTTCAGATAGGAAAGGCAGAGTGATTTAACACCTGTTTAGATTTGTCATCCATGTGACGAAATGAAAAGTATGCCATTTGCAATAAACTTTGCATAAGATAGTTAATTTGCATTTAATTTTAATGGTTCAAAGAATGTCAGGCAAAATGGTCGGCCCTCACGCATGTTCACTTCATCAAATCTGGCCCTCTTTGAAAAAAGTTTGGACACCTCTGCCTTAAGAGAACTCTGAAATGACATTATGCTGCACAATGACAGTCCAACATGCCCAGAAACAGCAGCGCTTCTTACATGTCACACAGGGTTAGGATACTCAGAAGACAGATTTTCATTGGTCATCATTAGAATTGGAATTGTGCAACTTGTGACTTGGAAAGCAAATGCAAAAGTTGCTGAGCTAGTGGCCTCTGATATTAAGAACCAGGTGATCTGCATTGTTGTCCGCAGCACAAGGCTGAACCGGTGTGTAATTGAAGCACAAATCAAACAGGGCAAGCACTATTTCTTTGCATGGCGTCAATTGTCGAGGTCTTCATGTGTCTATCAACCCTACCTAAACTATCCTGCCGTTGGCCTTGAAGATGAACAGTTATAGAGATACTAGATTCACTGTGTTCCCACCTTAAAAACACCTCAGAGGGGTATTTACATTGCATTACAAAATAAGTCATGAACTTAATAAGATTTCTTCTGCAGGGAAGATAAAAATGCCTGCAGTGGCTGTTTGCTTTTCCTTCCTGTGCAATAGACCAGGTGGCCAGTTTGCTGGAAGTCCAACTTGCCTGCTTTGGTTTGCTAGGTTGGTCCATACAGACACACACCCGCCCCGCCACCAGTTGCAATTGTACTGGAGGAAGGACATTAAACAAGGATGCGTCACACAACAGACTGCCTGCTTCCCAAAGCACACCTAGACCAGGCCCCATGTCCAACCGTTTCTCAGATGCTTCTCCCACTGCAGTGTCTTCCTTTGCCTCCTCCCCCCACGTGGCTGCGGCCAAGAGTCGGTGGGAGATCGTTTCGTTCAGAGCCAGCAGCCACAGTGATAGCATTAACTTTCACAGCTGGTCCCATTGAGCGCCCCCTTGGGAGCCGCAGCGAAGCCACTTTGGAAAGCTTCCAAGTTCTCCGCTTTTGCTGAGGGAGCTGTTGCGCTGGATTCCTGGCAGTTGGCCGCAGAAGACCTGTCAGGGTTGTCTTGAAGGTGGGAGTTCTCAGCTGCCTGGGCCGAGCACAGTTCTTTGGCACCTTCGTGGGCACGTCCGTTTCTGGCGCCGTCGTGATGCCCGTGGTTACCGAGACGGCTAGAAGCAACGACCGCTTTCATGGCAGCCTAGTCAAAACCAAACAAGCAGAGTCAGTGAACAGCCATGGTCAGGCTGCATTTCAGAGATTTGCTACTCAGTGTTCAGAAACACCCTGATGCTACATGAAATGGTTCTGGAATAGTTATTCCGAAATAGCTTATTTCAAAATAGTACGTCTACACTGCAGGGAAGACTCCAAACGAATCCGAGGCAGGCTCCCCTAATGTAGACGTGCTATTTCAATTTAGAGCCCCAGGAGACACTGGGAAGGAATAATTTAGAATGGCCCTGGGGAGGGGCTATTTTGAAATAGCAGCAGTGAAATGTCTACACACGCTTTATTTCGAAATAGCTATTTCGGAATAGCGTTATTCCTCGTAGAATGAGGTTTACAGATTTCGGAATAAGCCGCTGTGTAGACGCTCGCATTGTTATGTTGAAATAACGCTAGTAATCTCAAAATAACGGTGCAGTGTAGATGCAACCATGGAAATGGAAAGGAAGGAGAACAGAATAGCTTAGATCAGAGCCGGAGTTGTTCTTACAAGAGATCAGATCATATTAGACCGACCAGAAAATATCGTTTTCATCGTATTAACATTTTCCAACCTATCACATTTCTTTTGTATTGTAGTCAAGTGTATCCCTAGGTCTTAAGCCTACAAAGCTTAATACAGGAGTCAGTTTGAAGTCCCTTGGACTACCCATCTGGCTAAAGTTATATGCAGGGGTGGCCCATCCATACAGGTGAACTAGGCAGTTGCCTAGGGCGCCAAGTTAAATGGGGCGCCAAATGGTGGGGCAATATCGTTGAGGGGTTTGGAGGAGGGGGCGCCGATTGCATGGTTCGCCTAGGGCCGTGGTCCCCAACGCGGTGCCCGCGGGCGCCATGGCGCCCGCCGGGGGATTTCTGGGCGCCCGCTGAAACATCTGGGCTGGCCCCACCCCCGGCGCACGGCACATGCATGGTGCCGGCTGCCGGC